AGGAAAGAAAAAACGAGAAAAAGAAAAAAAATATATCACCATGACAGTCCGTACAATAAATGCAACATTTCTTTCATGATCCTATTGTCAGGAACATTATCACAACAACATTGATTCCCTCAACAAAAATTCTTTAGCACTCTAATCCTTCAATGCCATATTACATATACATATATATATATGTACATATATATATATATACATATATATATATTTATATATATATATATATATATATATATATATATATATTAATCGATTATAAAGGGTGTTTGGGTATATTCGAAGATACACAAAATCCTTCCCTGTTCGTTGTATATCACATGAAATGAAAAATATTATTTTCTATTTGTTTACATGATCGAAAACACATTAGTTTGGTTTTTTTCTTTCCATTATTAACCAATTACACCGATCTTATATATACATATATATATATATATATATATATATATATATATATATTATATAGTTCACTAATTTAACGCCGATCGCGGATAATAAACGAAAGACGATTGCGGCTCAAAGTCCTTGCGAATACTAACGTCGGCTACTGCCATGCTGGCACGATCGCTTGCCAATGTGTCTTGGCTAACTAGGGATCCACCAACCACCCACTCTCACCCCTTACCTACTCACTGACTACGTACTACGTACCATCTGACCCCACTCCACAACGAACCCTGATCTGCTCGTCTCCCTCTCTTCTTCTCTTTCTCTCTCTCTCTCTCTCTCTCTCTCTCTCTCCCTCTTTCTCTCTCCCTCTTTGTCTCTCTCATTCTCTCTGTCACTCCCTTAACAACTAACGCAGCTCTTCCTTCCCGCCTTCCCCCTCCATCGTACTCTTACTTTTTTTCTGCGTATGTGTGTGTGTCTGTGTGATTTTTTTTATCACTTTTTTTAATCTCTTTTTTTCTTCCTTTCCTTCTCTCTCTCTCTCTCTCTCTCTGTGTTTGTGTGTGTGTGTGTGTGTGTGTGTCTAGTACGTAGTACTATCATCCTTAGGAATTTATTATTATTATTATTATTTTCTAATTGGAAGATTTTCATTTTTGTTCCATCGTTCAAGATTTTTGTTAGATCATTGTATTATACATAGATATATGAATTTCGTTCATTTTGAATTTTTGAAAATTTTGTTTTGTTTTGTTTTTACTTCTTCTTTCTTTTTTTTTTTTTTTTTTTTACAATCAGGGTGAATGTTCGTAATTATCTTTCTTTTTTTTTTTTTTTTGTTCTCTCTGTTTCATTATCTCTTGGTCCGATTTGTATATGATAATTGATATGAATCGATCAGCAATGTTTCGAATGATTTCATCCCTCTTTCTTGAGAGATTTTTTCTTTTTTCTTTTATTTTTTTTCATTTTTGTTCTTTTGATTTTTCTTTTTTTTTTCTTTACTATCTTTCCATTCAATATCTCTATCAATAAACATATTTAATTGGGATAAATTCGTTGTATGTTTACGAAAAATATTTCAACCCATGTACGTTCCTCATCCTTGCCGGCTGTATATTATTTGCGTATTTTATTTTTGTCCTATCATTTCTATCAATGACCTTTTATAATCATCGATAGAAATCTTTTATCATTTTATTCATGACTTTTTATAATTGCAAGAATATATTCAGAATGTATTTTGATCTTCTCTCTTTTTCAATTCTTTTATCATTAACCCCCTTCTCGTTTATCCTTAGACAGGATTGGAATAATTGTTTTTTTTTTTTTTAAGTGAATTAAAGTGAAAAAAACAAAAGAGGAAAGAGAAAAAGATTTCTTACGAATTTTTAAAAATTGCTTTACATCGATTTCATCCCCTATTTTTTTATCTCCATTTTACTGTTCAATATCTATCGTTCTATTACCCTTAAATCTTATTAATAATCTTCCCTGTAATTATGACTCTATACGATTTTCTTCTTACTTAAATAATAATTAAATAAAAGAAAAAAAAAAAGAAATAAATAAATAAATAAATTGAAATTAAAACTTATTATTATCATATTAATGATCTAAAAGACATGTACATTTTATGTCCCTTCAAAAATATTTTAGATCGATTTCATCCCTTCTCCTTTAATATCCTCACTGTCCAATCTCTTTGTCATAATCACCGTCCATCTTAATCCTTAATCCTTATCAATAATCTTTTCTAATCGAAAGATCTCTTATAGTTTTTTCAATAAATTCGAATGATATTCAAATTGATTTCATTCATTCTTATTATACGCTATTTAATTTATCCAACATGTAATTTCCAATCATCGTTCTCGTCTACAATTGAAATCTATTAATTTCTTTCGTTAATTGATATTATTATAATGATATTAATTGAAATTATTCCAATAATTAATTTAAACGAACAAAAAAGAAAAATAATTTACAAGAAGAATTTGAATTGATCATAATAAAATAATAAATTATATTATCGAATTGTATTATTTATATTATTTAAACGATCGATAATTTTATCGTTCTGAAATTTATTAATATAATGAGTGTTATTCAATACGGTTGTTCTTTCTTCTTTTCTTTTTTTTTTTTCTTTTTTTACTTACACTTATGCAAATAATATCAGGAGAAGATAAATATGTATGTGAAAGAAGAAGAGAAGGGAGAGAAAAAAAAAGAGAAATAAAAAATTCACTCATCATTCTGACATTTTTCCCGAATAGAAATATAATTGCAGGAAGAGAATGTTATAATAAATTTTCGATAGGAAGTATTATACCTTTCAATTTTTCGCAATTATATCATACATTCGTACGATTTAGTCATATCTATACCTACAAACATGTAAAAGTATTTTCATTAAAAAACAAAAAGGAATGAAAAAAAAATTATTCTCTAACCCCCTTCACCACTCCCCCCCACCTCCCTAATTAATAACTTTATTTCAATGAAAGAAATGTTACGCCTTTCTATTTTCTTTTTTTTCTTTCTTTTTTTTTTTTTCATACAAAAATTTCTTGTTTCTTCTTTTTTACATAGCAAGAATATAATATATATGCGAAAAAAAACTGATCAATTTTCTCACGACGAAAAAAAAATAACATCTTTCACTTTTATTGTTCCCGTTTCTTTTTTTTTTTTTTTTTCTTTTTTATACAAAAATTCCCCTTTTTTCTTGTCTACAAAGCAAAAGACATTACATATAAACGGGCGTATGCAAAATATTTCTTTTTTCGTTCGTCATTGATAGGCGCACAAAAATTGAACAATTTTCTATCGACGAGTATGCACTACGTGGTAGTATCGTTAAAGTGTTTTAAGAGAATAGGACATTAAAGAAAACAAATTATATACACATATATATATATACACATATATATATATATATACATATACATAGGTATCTTGTTAGTTTCAAGGAAGAGGTATTGACATTGGCATCAAATTCTTTCTCAGCCCTTAGGTCGTAGGTTGGACCGGACAACGATGAGCCCGTTCTCGATGACATCGATGATGGCTCACGATCGAACGAATGAACGAACGAGTAAACGAGTAAACGAGTAAACGAGTAAACGAGTAAACGAGTAAACGTATGAGTGAAAATGCCGCCGTCGGCTGGATAGCACAGCGTTCCACGATATCTTGGTGCCGACGATACGGGATACTAATCGTTCATTCGGTGATCGTTACCCATCTCCACCAACCCCTGATCTATATCTCTCTCTCTCTCTCTCTCTCTCTCTCTCTCTTTCATTTTTTTCTCTTTCACTCTCACTTATATCCGCATCAATATATATGTATGTATGTATGTATGGTTCACCTTTGGGAGCGGGGAAACAAGGCCAAGGGATATTATATTTTCTCGAGATACCATTACCACGCCGATCACGGTGGTCCTTTCATGGGTCCTCACAGACGAGTACACTGAGATCACTGGCTCGTAATGCCTTCCCTTTCGTGGATTATTGAGCATCAACGAAGAAAGTACCACGAGTTGGTTGTTTGGTTGGTTGGTTGGTTGGTTGGTTGGTTGTTCTATCAAGAAGCGACAAAACGATATATCCAAAAGGAAAATAACATTGTTTCTTCTTTTCTAAAAGAAAATATCTTTCCGAACTAATCCATATATCCCTCCTACTCACTCCCTTCCCTCACACAATCTCACACTCTCATTTACTTATCCCATCACATCTCAATTAAATTTCTTTACGTTTATTTCTTATCGATCGTTCGAAACGTTATTTCTAATTTAATTTACAACCTTCGAATTCGCAAACTTTTCTTTCTATCTTTCTTTTTTTTTTATTTATTTCTTTTTTTTCTTTTCTTTTATTTATTTATTAATTCATAGTGCATGAAAGAGACAGAGAGAGAGACAGAGAGAGAGATAGAGACAGAGAGAGAGAGAGAGAGAGGGGGATGACGTTCGATATCAACGGGTCACTAAAAAAATATCGAATGTCCGACATTAATCGTACGAGTATCATCGTACTCTCGTGTATATATATATATATATATATATATATATATATATATATATAAAATACATATACACATATGTATAGATGTATGTATGTATGTATGTATGTTTCTCTCTCTCTCTCTCTCTCTCTCTCTCTCTCTCTGTCTCTCTCTTTCTCTCTGTGTCTGTGTGTGTGTGTGTGCTTGTCGCCGGATCGGACACCTGACTGCACGTATAGTTCCGATGTGGATATACAGGAAGAGGAAGTCGACCACACGGCGTGCATCTCTCACCACCTTCTTTATTGGTTATACGTTAACCGTGTGTCGTCGATAGTTATAGAACACAAACCCAAAAGATCGAGTTCGTCGATCTTCATTGGTCTCTCGTTCTCTCTCTTTCTCTTTCATACTTTCTTTCTATCTTTCTCTGTCACTCCCCTATCACATCAGAACCCTCTCTGGCACCTCGAAACACGATTATCGCGAGAGATAGAAAAAGAGAGAAGGAGAGTAAGAGAGAGAGAGTGAGAGTGAGAGAGAGAGAGAGAGAGAGACTTCTCCTGCATCACGCCGAGTGTACAACCTGGGTATTGGCTTACATTTCCAACCGATTGAGCTCATGGTATTTACACAGGACTACGTTCGAAACTTGCATCTCTTTCTTCCTCACTCTCTCTCTCTCTCTCTCTCTCTCTCTCTCTCTCTCTCTCTCTCTCTCTTTCTGTCTTTCTCTCTGTCTATCCTTTCGTTCTTCTATTTCTTCCCTTCTAGTCTCTTCCATTTGCAATTTCATTTATCAAATCTCATTAATTATTGCCACCTTACCGCACGTTCATTACAAAATCATTCATAGGGGTGGTTGTTAATAGAACAGTTTTTTATTTTATTTTTTTTTTTTATTTTTTACGATCCTAATACCTTCCATCCGATCCTTCTTTCTCCGATAGAATACAGTTTTCTATTTTTTTTTCTTTTTTTTTTTTTTCTTTTTTTTTTTTTTTCTTTTTTTTATATATATATTTTTTCCTTTTTTTTTTTTTTTATTTTATTTTATTTTATTTTATTTTATTTTATTTTTGATCTTTGATTACATCGTGAAATTTGTCTACAATCCCATTTATATTGGATTTAATTATCCGAGTAGTTTTGTTTTATTTATTTATTTTTTTCATTTTTTTTTTTTTTTTTT